GGAGGGAGGGAGGGAGGGAGGGAGGGAGGGAGGGAGGGAGAGGGAGGGAGGGAGGGAGGGAGGGAGAGAGAGAGACACAGAGAAACATTCCTTTCAATATGAGCCAGCATCTCCCCTCCCACCAGGCACACCTTCTCCCCAGCCTCATGACCTATTAACCCTTTCCAGCCCTTTCTCCTACCTCAAGTCAGCCTTTTCAGACTCAATCTGGAGGATAGCCAGGGTTTTTTCATAATTCTTTTCGGGACAATCATAGAAAGTTCGGGCAATCCATCTTGATATTGGGTGCTAAGGGAAAATTGGTTTGGAATCAGTTACCTTCCCAAGGAGGCTTGCTCTTCTGGTTGACTGCTGTTCATGTCAACAACTTTCACATGTGTTAAACCATGGCCACCACTAGGTTCACACTCTTTTGTCCCACGTCTGAGATAAGCACCAAGGTGGTAGCATTTGATCAGTCTGCTTCAGTTCTGAGCCTGTGTGCTCCCTTCACACCGCACTTGGGGCTGCAGCTTAAGGGCAGGGCAGGGCAGGGCAGGGCAGGGCAGGGCAGGGGCAAACCAGAGGCTACTGATCCAAATGCAAAGATCTTTCCACCAGACTACATAAATAAGCAGATTTAATTTAGCCTATTAAGGTTTAACATAATTTTTTAATGAAAAGGTACTAATAATCTTTACTTACAAAAAATTAAAAAATATTGTGGGCTAAGAAAGTGGCTCAACAGTTTAGATCACTGGCTGCTCTTGCAGAGGATCTGAGTTCAATCCCCAGCATCCACACAGTGGCTCATAGCCATCAGTAACTCCAGGTTACTCCTCAGGTACCAAGCACACATGTGGAGCACATTCATATATTTAGGCAAAACACCCAATCATATAAAATAAATCTAAAAAATAATTTTTAAGTTTCAAATGCACCATCTACTTGATGTAAAGAACTGAAAATCTATATCATAACTGCCTAATTAAGACATTTACCACAACATTAATAAGCTATCCAATAAGAATTCTAAAGAGCTATGCAAACCTTGTAATACTCCCAGTGTTCTGGGATGTAGCCTTCTGGGATTTCTGCGAGTTCAGCTTCACCTAGTGAGAGAAAATGATGATGACCCCAGGTTAGCACTGACGGTCACCAGAAGCAGTCAGCAGCCAGCTTCTCATGGTTTCAAGGGCTGCTTCCTCTAATGTGCTAATTCACAGGGGAAGACCAGTCCCCTTGGGAGTGGCTTTTATCCATGTTCTAAGTGTAAGACAGGACCTCCAACATCTCAGCAGAGCCTCCCATTTTGTTCTTATATAAAGAGACATAATAAAGGACACACTGTTTGTTTTTACTTTTTGCTCCTCTGTAAATCTACCAGACAGAATATTCTAAGATTCAAAATAATTCAGTGATGTGGGTCCCCTCTGTATGCTGTGAATACCATTGGTTAACAAAGAAGCTCCTTTGGGCCTATTGCAATGCAGAATAGGGCAAGGCGGAAATTCCAAGCAGAGATAGAAGAGAAAAGAAGGCAGAGTCAGAGAGAAGCCATGTAGCTGGGATGGAACCTTACCAGTAGGCCAAAACCACATGGCGATACACAGATTAATAGAAATGGGTTAATTTAAGATGTCAGAGTTAGCTAGAAATACGCTTAAGCAATTGTCCAGACAGTATTGTAATTAATACAGTTTCTATGTGATTATTTTGGGTCTGGGCAACTCGAAAACAAAAGAGCAGCCCTCTTACTACAATTCAGCATTTTAAGACACTGCTCAGAAGACCTTTAGTGTGTATTTGATGTTAGAGACTCAGGGTGAAGCTTAATACTCTCTCTCAGTCAGTCAGTGCCTGCCTCTGTCTGTCGGTGTGTATGTGTGTTTGTGTCTGTCTGTCTGTCTCTTTCATTCTCTTCCCCACTGTCACTCTATTTCCCTGATCCAGCTTGTCAGGGCTGATTCTGTAAAAGGAAATGTAGTGGTTTGAATAAGAATGCCCCCCACCATGCCATTTATTTGAATGCTCACCAGGGAGCAGAACTGTTGAAAGGATTAGGAGGATAAGGAGGTGTGGCCTTGTTAGAGGAAGTGTATCACGGAGGCTGGGTTTTGAAGTTTAAAAAGTTCACCAGATGCAGCTTCTCTTTCTGCTTATGGATCAGGATGTAGCTCTCTCAACTACTGCTCCAGCACCATGTATGCCCCCACCATGATAGTGAGTTAAGCCTCCAAAACTGTAAGCAAGCCTTCAATTCAATGTTCCTTTTCTAAGAGTGGCTGTGGTCATGGTGTTGCTTCACAGCAATAAAACAGTGGCTAGGACAAGGGAGAAGGAAGATGAGGCTTCAGAAGCCACCTCCTCTGCAGAAATGTGATGAGGGATTCCCCTCTGTATGCTGTGATTACCACTGGTTAATAAAAAACTGCTTTGACCCTATAGCAGAGCAGGGCCGAACAGAGGTAGGTGGGGAGAACTAAACTGAATGCTGGGAGAAGGAAGGCGGAATCAGGAGAAGCCATGTAGCCCCGCCAGAGACAGATGCCAGAACTTTACCTGGTAAGCCACAGTCACGTGGCAATACACAGATTAATAGAGATGGGTTAAATTAAAATATAGGAGTTAGCCAGAAATAAGCTTAAGCTATTGGCCAAACAGTATTGCAAATAACATGATTTCTGTGTGATTATTTTAGGTCTGAGCTGTCAGACGGCTGGGAAACAAACAAGTGACCTCCCTACAACAGAGATGTCCCCACAGGCTCTCGTGTTATTTGAAAGGTCCCAGAGCTTTTAGGAGGTGGTACCTTGAGAGAGGAACTAGTGACTAAGAGCAGTCTTTAAAGGTCAAGACCGCCCTAGTCCCAGCAAGCTTCCCCTGCTTCCTGGTGCCTTCCCACTCCAGCATCCACCTCATGGCAAACCAGTGTCTCTCTGAAACCATGACAAAATGAACCTTCCTTCCTTATACTGTCTGTGACAAATGTTTAGTCAGAGCAAAGCAAATGTAAGTAATGGAAATGTTCATAATTTCCTTTTTAAAAACTTGTATATATGTTTACCAATGTTATCATTTCGTGGAGTGAGCCTAGATGATGTACTTACCAATAAATACATTCACCAGCGTTATGCCAATCAGAACTGGAACCCCAGTCAACATAAGGTAGAATTTCTATGAGGAAAAAGAAAGCAGTTTCTCATGATCTTCCCTACTTCTCACACTGAAATTATCCTCATTCAATTTCTTTAATATCCTTACTAAAGAAACATGTCAATTCAGGAATCAGAATCACTGATTTCTGTTATTTTCCTCTCTCTGATTTAGTTCTTAAACACAACTATTTAGCACAATACAATATATGTGAAATGACTTTTGACTTCTTGGTTAAAACAATGCAATAAAGAACACTCTGTCTGAACTGGGCAGTGGTGGTGCATGCCTTTAATCCCAGCACTCAGGAGGCAGAGGCAGGCGGATCTTTGTGAGTTCGAGGCCAGCCTGGTCTACAGGAGCTAGTTCCAGGACAGGTACCAAAACTACAGAGAAACCTGGTCTCGAAAATCAAAAAGAAAAAGAAAAAAAAAAAAAGAACACACTGTCTGTATTGGGACGAAGTATGGAAACAGTAGAATTTCAGTCACTGAATGTCACTGGAGTTGGTCATGGTAAGAAGGCACTCATGCCCATGATAGCACACACCTGGGGACCCAGCATTTGGGAGGTGGAGGCAGGAGGAACAGGAGTTGTGAGTTTGAGGCCCGCCTGGGATAGCACAAGGTCCTGTGCCAGGTTTTAAAAAGAGGACTAAGAAGAAGCAGTGAAAGCGGGGGAGGGGGGTCTCAAGTAGCTGGAGTCCGTGGTGAGCATTTCAGGGGCAGTGATAGAGTCTGAACAAGCCTCCATTTTTAAGCCTCTGGTTGTTACTTCTTTAAGACGATGAGATACACACAAGTAGCATACTAAATAAGCGGGATTATTTGCGCTCCTGCTATATTAAGAATATTCCCTTAAAAATCAGTACTCAAATGGCAAAAATTTCTTTAAAAATCACATCCTAAAATAGAGGTGCTTCACTAGAAATCTTCCAGTGAGTCTTTTGCAGATTTATTTTTATACTTAAAGAGGAAACACACTTGGGACTTCAGACCCCATCCCCAGCAGCAGGAATGGCTGGCACTCGGTCTGTGGTCAATATAAACCCTTGCTTTGAAAAGGTTCTAATTAACTTTTAAAAATATAGCAGCAAATCAAGACCTTACTACACAATCTCAGCATCCCCTGAGGGAAAATAGTGATTTTAAAATGAAAGACGTCTCCGAAATGGAACCCCCTCCCCCAAACATCCTGTAGTTAAGGACATTTTCAACTTACCAGCAACCTCAAAAAGCGACTGTCGTAGTACGAAGTAGGCTTGATGACGAACAGTCTCTTGCCATGGTCCCCACTGTGCCGCACAGGAGCTGGAAATGCGAGACTGTTTAACAGGGCTCATGCAGGGGGTGGGCAGAGGAGACCGTGGGGCATTGTGAGTAAATATGCTTTGCCTGCACATCAGAAGGGGCAGAGCACACCACAAAGACTGACTGTTCCCAAAGATAGCTCCTGCTGCTGCTGCTGCTATTTTCTTCTCGTTTCTAGTAGTAACCAGGTGAAGCCCAGTCTTCACACACATGCTGGAAAGTGTTCCGCAGTTACAGAGCGCTGCTCAGTTCAATGCCTGTAGCAGCATCGAGCAATCATCTCAGTATACCTTAGAAACAGGCAGGAAAGGCAAACGCTCCTAACAAACTGCTAACCTCGGCTTTCCTGACAATAAATGAACATGTTAAAGCTACCTACAAGACAAAGGTGAGCAATGCCTCCTAGCACAAGAACGTGGAAGGCAGGAAGCTGCTGCAACACAGACAGACAGGACCAGCAGTGTCTACTCCAATCTCCTGCAGAAACTTGATTATTACAGACTACACACTCTATCATGTGTGTGTGTGTGTGCGCGTGCGCGCGTTAGGCTAAACTCAGGGTCTTGCATATGTCAGTCAGGTACTTCTACCACCAAGCTATACCTCATCCATCATATCGTGACAAAATCCATTTGTAAGTCATCTCTGACTAAGAGTATCCTCCTCCTCAAATCAAAGATTTGGAATGATTTCAGCCTTGTTGGAGATAAGTGGAGGTGGAGTGTGCCTCCTGAATCCCTTCTCTGCTCTTGTCCCATGGAGACTGATAAGACACCATCAGCGGCTTGCCCAGAAGAACCACTGTTATTCAGAGGGGCTGGCTATGCTTCTGCTCAGATTCCCATTGAAGCAACTGCACCCATCACAGCAAAGGAAACCCAAAAATGAACCCGCCTGAAATTCCTAGATGGTGATACTAAGAAGATGTAAGATGTAAGAGAGAACGGTACCCTTTATTCATGTTCAATGGCAAGAACTGCTCCCCCTCACCTCCACCCCCGCCCCCGCCTTTTAGGACCACAGAACATATCCTGCAGGAAGCTGATGCTGTTCCATCAGATGACACGCTCCCTTTGACACGCCATGTGCCCAGGGATGTGCACAATTGTCCTTTGGTGTCAGCATCCATGAGGAACTAGTTTGGGTACCATGGATACGAAAATCTCCAGATGATTAAGAACCTTAAATAAAATGGCATCGGCACAAGAACACGCACACATTCTCCTATATGCTCTAATTTCTAGGTTTATAATACTGAGTACAGTGAATGACATGTAAACCATTGCTATACTGTATTGTTGGGAGAATAATAACAAGGGGTTATAGGAGCAATTTATTTTTCTAAATATTTCAACCATAATTGGCTGGATCTGTGAATGTTGGCAAGTAAGTGAACACAGAGGACTATAGTTAGCCTAAAAAAAATGCAATCCATCCAAAGGATCTCTCAAAAGCCCCAGGATCTAGACTCCTATGAATGACCTAAGTGGGTAAAGACAGTGTGGTGGTTTGAACAAGAATGGCCCCCATAGATTCATATCTGAATGCTTAGGGATTGGCCTTGGAGGAAGTGTCACTGGGAATGGGCCCTGGAGCTTCAGAGCTCAAGCCAGGCCCCGTGTCTCACCCTCCTGCTGCCTGCCTATCTAGTGGAGACCTCTAGGCTACTTTCCCAGTGCCCACCTTTCTCTTTCAACCAGAGAACAGAGGAAGGACTAAATTATACGTAGCTTCAGTGAACGATCATTACAACTGTATAGCAAACACAAAACAAACAGCGGGCACTTAGGAGGCAGAGACTGGAGGAGAGTTCTAAGTTCCAGGCCAACCAGGGGCACCTGGCGAGTGAGACCTGTATCAATGTTTCATGCCCCCCAAAAAAGAACAATGGAAGAAAGCTTGGACTGGCTGCATTAGAGGAATATTAATGAGGTTAGCAAAGTGAACTGCTTTCTCTTTGTTAATATGATTACCCAACTGTTTAACAATTACACTTGGTTAAATACGCCTGATGACTGCTACTCCCACCAGCCGTCCTGAAATCTACTTGAGAGTAGTCAACTTCCCACAGCCGAGGTCTCTGTTTGCTGAAGTGGGAGGGCCATCTGCTCACATTCTGAAAACATTAGAATGAGCAAGGCTTACAGGACTAAGTCTTCAATAAATGATTTTTTAAATTGTTATTTTTTTTAAGTGTGAATGGGTATGTGCAGGTGAATAAGCTGCCAATGGAGGTAAGAGACACGGTCCTGTAGTGGGGTCTAGTGGGGTCACTGTACCTACGGTAAACATTAGAATACAACAACAGTTTCTCACTGTATCTAGGGTAACAGTACAATGTATTAAACAAACACTAGAATGTTTGTCTAAGGTACCTAGACCTTGAAGAAATAATGGTAGAGAACTGTGACTGTTTTCTATGATTTATGGGGTTGTTTGTCTGAGGAAGTTTTCCATCCATTGCACGACACTGGTCACTAGACTATCCAGGCACACTTGGAGATCTTGAATTGCTGGGTACTGCACACAGTACACAATAAGGACTAAGGTTGCAGGGGTGGATTATTTCCTTCAGAGAACATATAGGATAGATTTAAGAGCTTTGGTATGAGGAACTTGTTGTACCCCAGACACAATCTTTGTGTACAATCAATGAATATGATTCTGAATGGAGGTTTGAGGTTCAGTTCACAGAAGCTATTCCTCCCTGCTGCCAGAGAGCCTAAAGTTACATTCTGGATAAGTATAAGTGATTATCCTTCTTTGAATGGCCTGCACAACACAGAACACCAGACAGGGTCCCTCAGAAGCTAGAGTTTAAAGGCTATTGTAAGATATGCTATGTGTTCTGGGAACTGAATCCAGGTCTTCTAGAAGAACAGCACTATTAACCACAGAGCCATCTCTCCAGCCCCCTCCAATAAATGGTTTTAAATATGTGAATCACTCAGGAAAGGTATTTAGAGTTTGCTGACTGTAAGTGATATCAAGATTGCATTTCAAATAATCAAAAACTGGTCATTCATTGTCTTTCCCTGTATTTTCAGATAAAAGTACCATTTTAATTATCTGGTCTAAAAATCTAAGTCCTCGTCATTATATCTGTCAGTCTTTCATCACTTAATGACAAACTGACGATGATTCTAAGAAGGGCTAGCGAGGTGGCTCAGAAGGGAGGGGCACTTGCTGTCAGGCCTCATAACCTGAGTTTGGTCATCAGATCCCACACAGTGGAAGAACTGATCCCACAAGTTGCCCTCTGACCTCTACACATATAGGCACTTCAGCTTTGTGTCCAGGCCCTCCTCCACCCCAATTAGGTCCTCACTACCTTCGGCCCCACTCTCTCAACATCTAGGTGTCCCAAAAGTCCCACATCCAGACACCAGAAAACCCACCCACTACTTCTGCCAACTCTGCCTGTTAAAATGATTATCTTCATTTTACTACTCCTTGTCTTAGTTCACAGTACGCTGTCCATATATCTGTTGGTCAGCTTTCCCCTACCTGAAAAATATCTGTGATACATTAGCTTTAGAATGGAAAGGGACTCAGAGTTTCCCATTTATAAGCTGGAAGTCTTGCTGGCTGAGCCTGTGGCAAAGCATGATGGGAGTATACAGCAGCACAAACTGCTCATCTTCTAGTGACCAGGAAGCAGAGAAAAGAAGAGGAGGGGCTGATGCCCCAATATTCCCTTCAAGGGCACAACTTCAATGGCAGGAAGACCTTAGACTGGAATTACACCTCTCAGATGCTCAATCCAGCTATTTGGAAGATTGGGGCAGGAGCATCACAGGTTCACTGCCATGCAGCAATCTTTGTACACTGTAAATATGTATCACTGTCACTGGTTAATAAAGAGCTGACTGGCCTACAGCTGGGCAGGAAGAGACTGGGTGGGAGGGTCAGACTAGGAGGGCTCTAGGAAGAAGAATGGTGGAGTCTGAGAGTCAGCAGCCAGATGCAGAGGGAGCAGAACGTATACAAAATGAGGTGACAAGCCATGAGTCATGTGGCAGCACATAAATAAATAAAAGTGATGTAGGAGAGTCTTATGTATTTCTGTTGCTTTCATTGGCTAATTAATAAAGAAACTGCTTGGCCTGATAGGTCAGAACATAGGAGGGTGGAGTAGACAGAACAGAATGGTGGGAAAAAGGGAAGTGAGGCAGACGCCATGATTCTCCTCTCCGAGACAGTCGCAGGTTAGAATCCTCCTGGTAAGCCACCACCTCGAGGTGCTACACAGCTTATTAGAAATGGGTTAGATCAATATGTAAGAGTTAGCCAATAAGAGGCTACAGATAATGGGCCAGGCAGTGTTTAAAAGAATACAGTTTCCATGTAATTATTTCGGGTAAAGCTAGCCCGGTGGGCGGTGGGAAGTGGCCCGCCGTTCATTCAACATAAAAGGGTTAATTTGAGTTATAAGAGCTAGTTAGTAACAAGCATAAGCTATCAGCCACGCTTTTATAATTATTAAGTCTCCGTGTCGGTTATTTGTGAACTGGCAAGTTGGAAAAGAAAAGTCTGACTACAGACAGTCTGCAATGCAGAGTGTATTCAAGACCAGCCTGGGCAACTTAGTGAGGCTCTGTCTCAAAAATTTATAAAGAGAAAGGAAAAAGAGGGCTTACTGACGCAGTCCAGGGGAAGGAACTCAGCTGACTCGCATATGCAAAAGCTTGTTTATCATCAGCAGTACCCAAGAAATAGGAACAGAAAATAAAATAAAAGGGCAAATCTCATGCTGTACTTTCTAATTTGTTTTGAAGAGACTAATGCACAGGTGCAGGCTCATGGTGCCAGAAATGTCTCCGACTCCGCTTTTCACAGCTGCTCGGTCAAGTGTCTACAATGATCATCTTCCAGATGAGGAAGGAAGAGCAGGACCAAGAGGTGTGCACTCAAGGTCATGAAGCTTCTAAATTCTGCAACCAGGATTTAAATCGCAGTCTAGTGCCAGAGAAAAGAAGACGGGGGAGGGGCTTAACAACCTTTCTGTGTTTCTCAAGAAAATGTGGAAGAGAAGACTTTCAGGAGACAAAGGCACAGGACGCCTAGGAAAGTAGTGATACGGTGAAACAACCATGGTGGGAACAAGCAGCTACTAGGCATTCCCGGTTCTCATCAGAAAGATCATCGCTCCCTATGAGCCTGTCAAAACCGCAAGGGTAGGGAATAGTACAGAAAGAGGAACCTGGGAGCCTTCAGTTTAGCTAGACTCCATCAAGCACTCTTTGGGGGAGAATTTGAGGGTTCTCCGCTTGGATAGCTGAGGATATATTTGTAGTAAGAAAAAAAAAAGGTTTGCAAAAAGATTTTACCAAGTAGTGTGTTAGCACATAAAGTTTGCATTAAGCTTAAATTCCTGCTGGCAATTTTAAAAGCACTGATCCTGTGCAGCATAATCCAGAAGGCCCCTATGCATACGGCCTCCTTACATAATGGTGCCACTTAACTTGAGAGAAAAAGGGTAAAATAGAACAAGATGTTTAGAGACTGGTTTTAGGGTAAAATTTTCATTTCTGTGTACTTCACAAGGCAAATAAACAGCGTATCTCTGACCAAGAGGAATTAACACTTAAACCGTGCCTGACACTTAACAGGCGCTCAGTAAATATCGGCCACCATTATTGCTAACATAGCAGAACGGCAAATTATTCTTAATATTAGTTAAATCGGTTTCCTCTTTTGTAAAATGAGGGGATAACATGGCATTTACTTTTCAGAGTCTTTGGAGAAAGAAAAAGAGATCGAATACTAAATAAACCATGTTTACTCTTCTAGAAAGCAGAGGTAATCAGGCCAGGTTCCTAGGCCCTCACTATGACTGTCCTGAGCCCTGAGCTCTTTAGTCCTTCCTCTTCGGCCCCTTCCAATCACTGCGACCTTTTAAGGCAGTTCCTCATGTTGTGGTGACCCCCAACCACATAAAATAGTTGTAATTTTGCTATTGTTATGAATCGTAATGTAAATATCTGTATTTTCCAATGTCTCAAGAGACCCCTGTGAAAGAGGTCGTAACTCACAGGTTGAGAAGCACTGCCAAGAGTAAAGTTACGGCTGCATTAACATACAACAGACACAATCTGGGCTCAACTTAGCATTTACACATTCACTAACACTATAGTCTTTTATAAAACAAACAATATTTTTGTGGACTTCTAGAACCTCGTGAGCTCCACAGGCAGTTACTATTGTGCCTAAGGCAGCTGTCACCTGGTGCCTTTTGACACCGTGTCTATGAGCATCATCCCAGCCTTCACTTCAGTTTACCGGCGGGTTAGAACCAGCCGCAAGTGCCCACCTATCCAGATTCGGCCGTGAGCCCGGCGCTGCGGCGCAAGCCTGTACTCCCAGCGCTCGGGAACTGGGGACTGAGGGTGGGAAGTTCGGACCTCCGGTCTCACTGGCCGAGACCTGGTCAATAACAAATGTGTTGCCCTGGGAGACGCGGACGGCAGCTCCACTCCTGTCTGGTCTGGCCTTAAGGAAGCAGCAGCCGGCACGGTGAGTGACATCGTGCTTCACGCACGCTAAAACAAGGCCATCGGATTTCTGCAGCAGCCCCTCACACAGCCAGTCTAGAAACCTCAGCCTCGTCTAGAAACCCCAGGTCAACTTCGTCCCTGCTCCCTCGCTCGGAGGCCCCCAAGGTCACCTGGAAACAGCCCTCCCACCTCTCACCCGCGTCTCCGAGGCCTGCACCCACCGACAGTCTTCGGAAAGCTCCGTGTGAGAAAGCTTCCGACTCCGAGTCTAGCGCCAGCACGGCGGACAGACAGCGCTGTCAGCGCGGTGACCGAAGCCCGCTGCAGCAGGCTCATAGCCGCCATGGCTACTCCGGGCAGGAGAGGAAGTGGGGTAAGCAACGGGAGCCGGGAGGGACAATCCACCTGTGAGGGCGAAAGCTAGCGGCGGCCATGTTAAGTAAGGGCAGTGGCAGGTTCCTGTTCGCTTCACGTGTGGGCGCTCGCGGGCAGACCTGAAGACGTCGTGGGTAGGAAGCTCGAAGAGAGCCGATAGAAGCACTATGGTGGATAAGGAGTGGGGGGGGGGGGGGGGGGGTGGAAGCAGTAAGGACGGCCATGTTTAGCAAGGGCAAAACCTGTTCGCGTTTGCTTCACTTGTCGGCACGCAACAACGGAAGTGACATTGTGGGTACCGGCACAGTGGGCCTGCTTTAGAAACATGGCTGCGCCCAGTGTAGTGGGTATTTGTAGAAGAGTCTCGGCGTTCCTGAAGGCTGCGGGTTCCCTAGTAAGTCCCCAGGCGCCTGCTCGTACCGGGTAAGTGAAGAAAGAAGGGATGACCGCCCCGCCTTCGGGTGCCTGTTGCAGAGTGCGCAGCTCTGGCCGAGGGCGTGACCTTGGAGTCGCCCACCTTGGCGACCGGGGGCCGCGGTGGGGGGGCGGGGGTTCGGGTGGTCTGTGCTGGGGCTGGCTGGGGCTGGACAGCCGCTTCCGAGGGTTCGAAACTGAAGGCGTCGCCGGGTGTGAGACGAACGGTTCTGCACTGTCGGCTACGGACCTAATTGTCCGGCAGGTACTAAGTGACAGTGACGAGAGAAGCGAGGGGTTTCTGCGAGTGTGAGAGCAAAGAGCTTGCTCTTCTTGGACATTTGCGTCCATGAGCTGAGTTTTATTCATAGTGTACCTCAGATTAAATTGAAGGAAGCAACCCGTGTTAGGCTCAACACGCAGCTGTCGTGCCTCTATTATGCTCGGTATTGTTAACGCTAACTTCGGAAATTAGCTTTTTAAAAATTTTGCAGAGTTGTAACTTGATCAGGGTGATAAATTTGAATAAATTATTTCGTCTTTCATCGTCTTTTTTCCCCCTAACAATGAAATAAGTTGGGGCTGGAGAGATAATAAAAATAATTTGGGGTTCAGTGGTTAAGAGAACTTATACTTGCAGAGGACCCAAGTTAGGTTACTAGCAACCGCGTGGCTCACCAACATCTTTTAACTGGAGACCCAAAGGCATCAGCCACACACTCTTGGTGCATACATATGCAAGGAAAACAGTCATATACATATACCTTAAATGTTTAATGAAGTAATTGTTATGTGTTTTTTAATAAAAATAAATACCTGTCATGCAGAGAGGCAAAGTATTTGAAGATGGTAGAGGCAGTTGTGCGGGCGCTCCCAGATGACACGTTGCCATTTCTTTAATGTCGCAGGTGTACATGCTTTCTTTGCCATTATTTCCTCCAGAACAACAGAAAAGTTCTTAGAGTAAAACAGTAACCATGTGCCCTTCACCGAGTACCCAAGTCATTGGCATTTTGTCACATTTTCAAGATCCCTGTGTTTATACTCCTTGTCCTGCACTATTTGACAGAGGTCAAACTTCAAATGTAGAACTAAGGACATTTCCTTACTAAGTATGACCCAGTTATCACCCTCAGGAATAATAATGTTAGTTAGCATACAATCAAAAAAATGAAAATTGCACTAATAATTCCTTTTTTCATTCTTTCTGTTTCTTTGTCTTCATTTTGTTCCATTCTTTTCTTCAGGCTCCAATGTAGGATCATTTATTGCCCTAATTGTCATTAATCCAGTATGTTTCTGTTTTCCTTTGTTGTGATTACTGGTATTTTGGGTAGAATTAGTTTCTTCTTTCTTTCTTTTTTAGAATATGTTTCCATTTGATTATTGTCATAATTAGACTCAAGTCAAGAGTTGAGGATGTGGCTCAGTGGTAGAGTACTTACCTAACATGCCTGAGACCCTGGGCTCAGTCTTCAGGACACAAAAGCAGAGTCAAATCAAGTAAATACCCTTGGCTCAGAAGATGATAGCACTTGAGAAATATTTCATATTTATTTTGTTTTTAGGTCATTTTACCATGTCATTAAATATTTTTAGAAACATAACTTCTAAATTACTACGTAAGATTTTCATGCAGTGGTACGATAATTAGCAATATTCTAGTTGTATGTTTATGTAATTAACAGCTCTTTGATATCACATTTAATTCCTTTGTGGCCGTCTTAGTCTGAGCTCCCTTCTCTGATGTTGACAATCTCTAGACACAGAATTACTGGATTAAAGGAGAAAGCCTTGTGCCCCTCTGATGTTGCAGTGTTGACTTTCGCCATGGTTTTGATCCATTCATAGATTCAGTTGCTGCAGTGGAGGAAGCACCTAAAAATGTTACTCTGAAATGTAATTGTGAGGGCAGCGAGATGGCTCAGGAGGTGAAGTGCTTGTTCAAGCATGTTGACTTCAGCCGGGTCCCAAGGATCTACGCAGCAGAAGGTGGATGCAGCAGCATTCCTGTGCCCAGACAGGAGGCAGAGAAAAGGGAAGCACCCAGAAGCTTTCATGCCTGCTGGCCTGGCGCATTTAGCCAGGCAGAAACTAGAGCTTCAGCAAGGTGGAAGAAAAGGACTGACCTCTACATGTGTGTTCTGGCACATGAGTGTGTGTACTCACACACACATACATTAATAGTAATAAAATAAAAAAGATAGACGTATATAATTGTGTAAATATGTTGTCTCTGAAACTATAGGGTAGCGATCTCTACAATAAAAATAGGTTCTAACACATTTTAGAAGTTTACTGCTTTGGGGGTCAAAATACTGGGTGGAATTTTTGACATTGTAATAAATGTTTCTTGCTTATAAAATCTGAGCATTATAAACTTTAACCATTACTTGCTTGTGTTCAATTGCAGGTTTCCCCTTAGTTTTTTGCATAAGAACACACAACATGTCACATCTTTTCTCCAGTGTAAATTACTTCATACCACATTGTCAAGGAAAGGACTAGAAGAATTTTTTGATGACCCAAAGAATTGGGGTGAAGAAAAGGTCAAATCTGGTAAGCTTTTTAGAATGGTCTGCATTAATTGATTGAGCCCTCCATCATCCTAGGAATCCAGTTTAGGATTTCTTTTTAAAATTTCCTTTGAATTTTAAAGGTCATTCTCATATCTGAATAAAAATAATATTTCCTCAGCAGGTTGGTAGAATGTTTAAAAGAAAGGTACTTTGAAAATGTTAACTAATAGGAGGTTTAGGTTTATTTTAGTTCGCATATTTTTTAGAAATAATTAGAAATAATTTGTAATGAATAATTAAAAATAATTTAAGGAATGGAAATGCATTTAACATAAATATTAGCAGGCTTTGAATGTTGTTACCTGTCATGTTGCTGATATTTTCATGTTACTTAATTGAATTCTAGTCATATTAATATAATAATAATAATAAATATTCCATTCCATATTTTACAGATTCAGAAACAGATTTCGAGAGTGGATAATCAGCCAGGGGCATAGAGCTAACAGCATCATTTAATGTTACACATTTCTCATTCTCATAGGAGCTTCATGGACCTGCCAGCAACTAAGGAACAAAAGTAATGAAGACTTGCATAAACTTTGGTGGGTGTTCTGCATGCTGAAATGTTACAGTTTAACAGTGGGGTCAAAACTACACCTGTGGCAACCAATTGGACAAAATGATTTGTTTCCTGGTGCAGTGGGTGAGCATATGAGCTGTGTGTGCGCGCACGTGCATGCATGCGTGTGTCTGTGTGTGAGACAGTTGCACAGTTGGAAGGTAGTGGAACGTTTGGAGTGTGCTGTAAGAGGCAGACTGATGCCATTAAACCAGTAGTGCTGAGAAACACACTCAGGAATGACACGGGGACTAGTTGGCCAGTCACATTTACACTGCCTTCTATTTTTTCTTTCCTTGTTAATTTATTGTTTAATATAAATGCTGACAGAAATCATATAAAGACCTTGTAGACACTTTCTTATATTTACAGTTCAAAAGGTGACTCACCTCCTACTTTTTAAAATGAACCCTGTTATCTTCAACACTTAGGAGCCTTAAACCATAGTTAGGAGCAACAATAGGCTGAATAGTTTTCCAGGGCAATAAACTGTCAACCATATAACAAGAGGTGGAGTCTTTAATATAAACCGCATGCACACAGAGAAGACAAAACTGAGAAAGAAGGCCCCGTCCTCTAAAACATCTGCAATAAGTGGAACCTGTACTTATTGAGATCCAGAGCTTTTGCCGTAAATACACTCCCGTTTCTTTTTTCCCACCGTTTGTTTGGAAGGCATTTTAAAAACTGGAAATATTAAACAAAACAACAGGGTGTGCCATTTCAAACAGGGTTCTTTCTGTCTGTTCTAAAAGAACATTCAGAAGATAATGTCTCCAACTAAAGTCTTACCATGGACCAGATCATTCAAACTTCTGCCTTCCTTTTTATTCCATTTCATGACCTAAGGTTTTAGCCTATTATCCCAGTGGGTTGTGTTAAAGGATACATTAATTGAGAATGTAGGCACATGGCCCCAGTAAGTCTGGGGGGATTAAGACAAGGTTACATTCTAGTACTTAGCCCAAAGCTATTTTGTTTAAGCCATACTTGTTTAGGGGAAGTTTTACATCATATATATGTGATTTTGACTTCTTGAGTCGTTAGACCTCTGTGCCTCTTTGACAGCAGTGGTCAGTGCATAGCAATGCCTCCCAGCGGCCAGTGCACAGCAGTGCCTACCCAGTGATCAGTGCTGGTCAGTGCACAGCAGTGCTTACCCAGTAGTCAGTGGTCAGTGTGAAGCAATGCCTACCCAGCGGTCAGTACACAGCAGTGCCTACCCAGCAGTGAGTGCAGCAGTGCCTACCCAACGGTCAGTGCATGGCAGTGCCTACCCAGTAGTCAGCGGTCAGTGCACAGCAGTGCCTACCCAGCAGTCAGTGCAGCAGTGCCTACCCAGCGGTCAGTGCACAGCAATGCCTACCCAGCGGTCAGTGCACAGCAGTGCCTACCCAGTAGTCAGCGGTCAGTGCAGCAGTGCTTACCCAGCTCCTCATCTTTCTGCTGTTACTCAGCCTACTTCACTCATGAT